TTATACCATTCGGGACAAACCGTTGTCGAATCTCTTCTTTAAAATCTCCAGTGTTGGAGCACCCACAACTTTTGGAGGCAAAGCCATTCCACTGATTGTTAAGCAAAGCCCAAAACTTAACTGCAGTCCAAAAAACAAACAAACCATAAGTACAATTTCGACCGGAATTATAAGCAATAAGTATGGTGACAATTGAGGATGAAGATCGTTTTGGTCAAGTACTTCTTTATGGTGGTGGTGGGCAAATTTATTTATTTATTTATTTATTTGGTTTGTCAATTGCTTACAAGATAATAGGTATAAGTAAAAACATGGTTATGAATACATGGATACATATAAGAAAAATAAAAGAAACAATAGAACAGGGACGGTAGGCACGTTGGTGCGCTTATGCACGCCCGCTACAGGCCTCTTAGGAAAGGGGTGAGGTCAATAGTAGACAGTCTAAGGTTAAAATTTTGGGGTTTGGGGAAAAAAAACACAGAGTCAGGTAGAGTATTCCAAACATTGACCACTCTGTTGCTGAAGTCGTATTTCCTGCAATCAAGTTTGGTGCGATTAACCTTGAGTTTGTATCTATTGTTTGCTCTTGTGTTGTTATGGTTGAAGCTGAAGTATTCATTGACAGGTAGGACATTGCAATGTATGATTTTATATACTATACTTAGATCGGACCGAAGGCGGCGTAGTTCTAGTTTTTCTAGGTCTAGGAATTTCAAGTCTGGTGGCATAAGGTATTCTGCAATGAGTAGAGGAGTGGAGAACTCTTCTTGTGAAACATTTCTGGACTTTCTCAACTAAGTTAATATCAAATTGTAAAAGATGGACATGGAATATGCAAAACCTCCCTTTCCCCCTTTCCACAGCAGGCTCAGCAGTGTGTCTGCAGCTGAAGAATAGACAGGCGAGGATTTCATTTTATTTATTTTGGAATGGAGAGAGTGGGCAGCCGTTCAGAGAAGTGTAATTAAATAATTCCTTCCAAAGAACTGGTGGTTCCCTCCTCCCTCTTTCCCCCCCCCCCCCCCCAACCCCATTTTAAAGATGTGCCTTAGCTCTAGGCCCCTTCTCTTCATTTGCAGATCAGTCTTTGGCTTCTGCATAGAAACAGGTGGTTGGAGGAACAAGGTAGGCTGGGAGAAAGAGAGTTTGCATTTCAGAGCTGGGGGCAAAGGATTCTGCAAACGAGAGGGGAAGTGCAGCATGGATGTCTTTGGAAGAGATTTATTTTGGAAACAGAGAAATGTAAAGAGCAGAGGTTGATGGATGCTCTCAGCAGCTGCTTCTCCCAGACAGGATGGAGGCTGCCAAGACGGATGTGTGTGTGTGTGTGTGTGTGTGTGTGTGTGTGTGTGTGTGTGTGT